TTCCATATAAATTTTATTATGATTTGTTCTAGTTCTGTGAAATATGTCCTGGGTAATTGGATAGGGATTGCATTAAATCTGTAGATCGCCTTGGGCAGTGTGACCATTTTAACAATATTGATTCTTCCAATCCAAGAGCATGGGATATCTTTCCATTTTTTAAAGTCTTCTTTAATTTCCTTCATCAATGGTTTGTAGTTTTCTGTGTATAATTCTTTCACCTCCTTGGTTAGATTTATTCCCAGATATTTTATTACTTTGGGTGCTGTTTTAAAGGGGATTGTTTCTTTACTTTCTTTTTCTGTTGATTCATCATTAGTGTAAAGAAATGCAACTGATTTTTGAATGTTAATTTGGTAACCTGCTACCTTGCTGAGTTCTTCAATCAGCTCTAGTAGTTTTTGTGTGGACCTTTTAGGGTTTTCTATGTATAGTAACATGTTGTCAGCATATAGTGACACTTTTACCACTTCTTTTCCAATTTGGATCCCTTTTATTTCTCTCTCTTGCCTGATTGCTGTGGCTAGGACTTCTAGGACTATGTTGAATAGGAGTGGTGATAGTGGGCATCATTAAATTCTTAATATGCTTTTGGATCCCTTTCTGGCTTTGTGACTTTTTGCAGAGGAAACCAGTAAGATATTAACAACTGCTAAAGAATTCAAAGAGCCACATGTTTATATGCGATAAAGGAATGCTGAAATGAACTTACAGAGAGGTGCAAAAACTGGTCTATGCACAAGGCAATAGTTAATTGCATGCCAGACAGACAGAAGTAACCCGCATTTCTGCAGACAAGAATCATTTGTATTGGTATCTGTTTTCCACAGCTTATGAGCATTAAATGATAAGGTTAACCCAGACCAGTGATCCAGACAGTAGGCTCGTCTTTGTTTTCCTTTTACCCACTTCAGAATCTTGTCCCTTTAATTTGCCTGCATCTTTTCCCCCTGGTGCCTGACTTAGTGAATATACTTTTACAGTACTTACAAATAGTGGAAGGGCATCTCACTTATTCCTCTTTATTTTTTAAGAGAATATTTTTTTCCTGCCTGTTATTTCATTATTAGTTTCCAGATGCTGATTAGAAACACTTTATTAGTAAAAGCATTCTAGTGATGAAAATTGGAGACGTGTTAGGTGGGGATAGATTAATTTTCTTTTGGGTTTATTTCAGGTAATATCATAGAATTTAGGAGCCGGAAGGAAACTTCTCTATCACTGCTTCCAACCTCTAACTTCCTTTTTTCTTCTTATCATGAAAAATTACAAGCATAGACTAAGAGAAAAAAGTGTCCCCAAACCCCGTCACCCAGCTCCGGCACTTGTCAATCACCAGTCTAGTTTCATCCTCAGTCCCACCTGATTCAAACACAGCTCCCATATATTTTATCCGTTAATGTTTTATATGTGTCTCTAAAAGATAAGGAGTCTTCATATGTAAGTAAAATACAGTTAGCCCATCAGAAAAATTAACAGTAGAATTTAACATTAAATAAGCAGTATCCAAATACTCCGCATTATCTGAGAGCTGCTTTCAGGTTTGTTTCTTTGAGTGAGGATACAAGTGAGGGCACTGCAGGAGGTTGCTGTGTCTCAGGTCTCCTTTGAGATACAGGTTCCCTGTTACTCCTCCTCCTCGTTTTTTCCTTCCTCCGTTGCTCACTGTTTGCTGAACTGCAGTGTTTCTTCCCTGCGGTTGGATTTGTGGTGAGTGTATCTCAGTGGTGGGGCTTAATGTACCCTTCTCTTCCTCGTGTTTTCTGCAGGCGATAATTCCTTCCAGAGGCTTGTTCAGATTCAAGTCCATTTTATTATTTTTTTCTTTCCAGTGTATTTTATCGTTGGTGATAAATACTTCCATCAAGAGGTGTATAATGTCGGGTTGTCTTTCTTTTGCGGTGTTCCCAGTTGTCCATGCTTATTACCCAGATCCGTTCATTCTTTGGGGTTGTGAAATGGTGGTGCTCAGACTCGGTCGATGATTTTTCGTTTTTTTAGCTGGAATATTTTATAAAGAGAAGCTTCTCCTAATCAGCTATTAGGTTATACAAGGTACATTTTGATTATGAAAAGCAGAATGAATGCTTGATTTTTTTTCCCCACTTTGATTACCAATCTTCAGTTTATTGAGCTGATTTTGTGGCATCATCCAAAGATGATGAGTGAGTTGTTTCAGTTGAACTTAATCATTATGAGGTCATGGCTTAAAAGCCACTTGACTTGTTTTCAGCCATTTTAGCTATAATTCTTCCTAATGTTCTAATGAGCCATTGCTGGCTAGTGAGCGTCTCTGCAGGTTGCTGACATGTCGTCCTGACATGCTGTGAGTGGTCTCTGACAGCCATCTTGCTAGTTGGTATGACAGGATGTCCAGGCCAGTCTTGTACGTGCCCTGCCCCAGACCTGCAGCCAATCACTCAGCCGTTTCTTGATGGAGAAGTGGTATCTGAAGATGACGGTCTGGGCCACTGCTCAACTAACAGAAGAGCGTGCTGACTTTGCTCGAGCCTTTTCAGCATGGTGCTAATTTCAGACTTTCTAGTCTAGATATTTCCCCCTGACTTTTTAACTAGCAAGTGAAAGCTGTTAAGCAAAATTAAAGTTACAAGGTGTTAAAAATGTGTGTTTCTTGCTGTTTGAGATTTCAGAGTGTATATTAAAAAATTACCTTTAAATTTCCTAATTGGAGAATAATGAATACACTCTTAGAATTTTAAAAAGGAAGTAATTTTTCTTTTAAGGAGTGTTATCTTTATGACCTAAATTTGGGGGGGAGGGGATAGTTCAAGTGGTAGAGTGCATGCTTAGCATGCACAAAATCCTGGGTTCAATCCCCAGTACCTCCTCTATAAATAAATAAATAGACCTAATTACCTCCCTCCACCAAAAAAATACAATATTTGAAAAAAGAACTTATGACCTAAATTTATATTATTTACCTCATTTTGTCAAATAATGTGTACTTTAAAAATGACATTTAAAAATCTGTGCAAAAATTGCATTTACAGATTTTATTTAGACTGCCTCATGCCATGCAGCTGGTAGTTTCTTAATCATGTAATCTATTTGATAACAAATTATTTAGTAATTATGTGAACTAACATTTTCAAATAATGTTATCTTTTCCAGCCTACTGAGATATTGCATATAGGTTTATATTTACCCAGGAATAATGCAAGTTCTTGCAGCCTGAGTGCTTTCAACCACAGCGTTTTACAGAATTCCTGTGGACAAGAAATTAATGTATTTCATGGGGTATTTGTATCTTTAAAGTAGAACTTGCTTGCTGGAAACGCTTTAAAAAGAAAGTATTTGCATAAATGTTATGTACATAGCTAGTAATTTTGAACATTTATTCCACTATTGGAAGGTATTTTTGCTTGAATAAGAACTTTTCTGACTCTCTGCTCCAAGGACACATAATCTCGCATCCTTCTCGGCGGATGTTTGCTGTACGTGTTTAATACTTCTGTGTTGTTCTTGCTGGTTCTGTTTCTCTTTCAAGATGTGTTAAAAGCACTTTCTCTGTAATATTTTTTCTAATGTTTCATTCTCCTAGAGTTATTTATAACAGATCATTTAACTTGCCTTAAACGCCATGTTTTCTTTGACTTTTAGGAGGCACTGGCTACAATTAGGCTTCTTGATGTCCTGTGTGAAATGACTGCTAACACGGACCTGCTCGGCTATCTGCAGGTTTTTCCTGGCCTGCTGGAAAGAGTGGTTGGTGAGTAGAAATACCACACATATTACTGTTTTTAATTTTAAAAAAATCTTTGATTTGTACTGTAGTGTAAGTTCAAACGCAGCCCCTTAATTTTCAGTGTATTGGTGTACTTTTTAGTTTTTGGGGGATATTTTTCTTGGAAGGAACAGCAATGTTCTGGTGACAGCTCAGGCCGTTGCCACGCACCTGCTGCTGAACTTGTGCTGCCTGCTCAGTAGGTGAGGATGCTCTCCACGGGGTGCACGCAGTGGGTGCTTTGTGAGCCGAGGCTGTGATGGGGATGGTGGGGGCTTGTGGGGGTGTTGGGGCGGTTAGGACAGTGACGGGGGGGTTGGACCATGATGGCGATTTTTATATTTCTATAGTTTTACCAAATTTGTTAGTAAATTTTTCCCAGTTATACTATGGAACATGAAGCATAGTGCCTCATATACATAGTAATTATGTATTCAGTCCTTACAAAAAAACTGTTTTAAACAAGAATCCGTTGTTTGAAGTATTACCATCTTTGCTAAAAAACTGTTTGCAAAATAATTCACGTACAACCTGTTCCTTGTGGTTAGCCAGGCGTATGGTTGCTGTTCACTGTTTGCTATTTTTTTCTTTAAAAAAAGACTGTTCTTATTCCGGAGACCCATATGCTAATAAGAAAGATGAATTTGTGTCTAGATGGGTAGATGAGTTAGCAGTGAGCTGTAGAAGGTGTTTAGAATCTCTTGTCAGTGTCTGTTTTTGAATGCGGTGCCTTTAGCGATAGTTAAAGTCAGACATCACAAACCCGAGCAGCGGAACGTCATGGAAGAAGCAGGTGTTTGGGGCAAACGTGCGTTGTCAGCTCAACTCTGCCAAATGACTGACTTCTCTGAGCCTGATTTCTTCGTTATAAAATTGAGAAAGTGACCTGCCTTTAATAACTTTGTGGAGAGGATTAAATGAGATAACGTAGGAGCACTTATAAAGCTTCGGGAAGATCATCTACTTTCATAGGCTGCCTCGAAGCATTTCGTAGAGTATAACAGAATCGAATTCATTCCTTCTGAGTGTAGCCAAAAATAGACGAACGGAGAGCACAGGCTGCCTTCAGATGATCTGGACCCTGAGGGAAACATCAGCGCGCCGCTTGGTTTCTGTCACAGGCTGGTTGCCCGACAAGTGCCGCGTTTCAGACTTAGCTGACTGTAGTCGTCGCACGTGTTCCTTCAGAAAGAAGTTGGAATTGGAAACTTTTTTCTAAGAAAGATGGTGGAAATTTTTTAGCTAACTTTTCTTTGTGGATAAATAGCAAATCAGAGTTGGGGTAATCTTGATGGCTTGTCTCCCCAAAACAGAGCCATGAAAAATTCTGAAGGAAAAAGCAGAGGAAGCGTCTTATCACTATTTGAAAGAACGCTTTCACGGCTCTACTTTTGCTTTATTTCAATCCATTAAAATAAATTAGATTTGTTCATGGAAAACTAGGCTAAAACACTGAAGTTTTTCTACGGAAAATGAAGTTTATTCTTGCTGTTGTAGATCTTTTACGGCTGATCCATGTAGCTGGCAGTGACACCACGAACATCTTCAGCACCTGTGCTTGCATAAAGGCAGAAGGTGACATCTCAAATATGGCCGAGGGGTTCAAGTCTCATCTCATTCGGCTGATTGGAAATCTGTGCTACAAGAATAAAGACAATCAAGACAAGGTAGGATGGCTCCTCAGTATGCATCATCCATATATGGCTTTATTTAGAATATCAAATACAGGGTTTAGAATTACTCCCTTTGGGGAATGAAAGCTTGAGGTGCTGAGAAAGTAGCTTGAGGCTTGTGTATCTGTTACCACAGAGGGACATAGTATGTCGTGCTGGTTTGTCTTAGGGTTTGTAGTTTGTGATTTTGCATTGTACTTGTCTTCAGTGTGTTTGAGCCAGTCTCCTTTCTTTTAAATAGTCAGTATTTGTCCTAAGCCTGTGCATTTAAACATTACTATTTATTGATGGAGAACAATGAATGGAAAACAAAGCCTAGAAATTTTCAGGCACGTGGTCGACATTTAATAAACAGTTTTTATTGACCATTATCTTAAGAAAAAACAAAGTCTTTAACTTGCATCTGTGCCCTACATTTATGGATGATAGCACCACAAGCATTTCTTCCAGACGTTTTGAAATGGACGTAATACTTAAGTATTAAGTCTTTGAAAACCCAGTAGACTGCCATTGGAAACCTCTTTTGTACTGAGTAACTTAGGGGTAATTATACTGATACTGTGAGAGGGTGGTAAAAAAGACGGCCGCAGAACTGGACCACACGCTTCACACTGAACGAGCCTGCCTGTATCTTTCTAGAGTTTTACTTGGGGTGGCGTTTGTTTTGCTTCATCAAATACTGAATATACATGTGGCGGTTGCTACTTTTCCAAAATGGCTGCAAAAATATCCCCTACTCTGCATGTCTTCCTGCAGTGTGACTTTGCCACTCCCCCATCAGGGGTTAGATTTATTTTTCCATCCTCTTGAATCTAAATGGCTAAAGCCCTGTGACTGCTTTGAATAATAAAACATGGCGGGAGTGATCCTATACCGTTTCTGGTATAGCCCGTGACTGGTCTGGCCGATTTCATACCTAGCCTCTTAGAAGCCAGTCCCCATGTAAGAAGTGCACATTCCCTGAGATCACCGAGTCCTTGTGGAGAGGCCCTGGAGGATGAGACGCAGTGAAGTGAGAGAAAGGCGCTAGTTGGGGAGCACCAAGGCACCAGGCATGTGAGCAAGGAAAACTATCTTGGAACTTGGGCAGTTGCTCGGCTCCTTAGTTCCAAGCTTGGTTGCTTAGTTGCCCAGCTGATGCCATGTGAATCAGGGACACCCTGCCTGCCAAAGCTCTTTCTGAGTTCATGACCCAGTGCATTGTGAGAAAATGTAAAAAATTGGGAAAATAGTAAGTTGTGTCGATTTTGCTTCTGTTACTAGCCTCGTAAGCTACTATTGGACTCATTCTCCTGCAAATAATGATTATTAACTGGACAAAAGACAGCTATGTGAAGACACTCAAATTTGACACAAACTGGTAGATTTGAGAGTTGAAATAACACTTGGAAGAGGGGCACCGCAGGGAGTGTGTCATTCAGGGCAGTTAAAACTGATAGAGAATCTGTAGTTCTTTTACCTTGAAGGGTGAAAGGACAGTTTGGAGCAACCACAGCCATTGGAAAGTGAAGGGGAGAATCCCGGAAAGGAGAAAGCGAGCCCCAAATTTCGTGACCAGTTACCTAAATCTCTGCTGATACCTTCATCAGAGATGCACGGGGCAGGCTCCGAGCACCAAAACTAAGGATAAGATAATTGTACTGAGATTTGAGCTGCCGCCCTGGAGTTTACAGTAAAAATCCAACAAAGATAATTACCTGCTAAAACCAAAATATCAATATTCTTTAGAAGAATATAATACAGTCTAGAGTTTTCTACAGCATAGCATTCACAATGGCCAAGGTACAGTCCAAACTTACTTGAAACACAGGAAAATATGATCCATTATGAAGACAAAAAATACCATGGAGACTCACTGTGTGATGACACAGATGTTGGGTTTAGCAGACAAGGATTTTAAAGCAATTGTAATTATGCTCAAAGATATAAAGGAAAATATGCTTTGGATGAATGAAAAGACAGCATATCTCAGCAGAGAAATAGTAACTGTAAAAAAAGAACCAAATGGAAGTTCTCAAGCTGAAAAATACAGTACCCAAATAAAATGTAAAATTTTTACTGAGTGAGCTTGACACCTCAATAGGGATGACAGAGTGAAGAGTCGGTGCTTGGAGACAGATCAGTAGACGTCATCCAGTCTGAAGAACAGAGGAGAGATAATATTGAAAACAAAACGGCCAAATGAAGATGCTAAATTTTGATGACTGGAATAATTCCTACAGGACACAACACAGAACTAAATGCCGGATAATTTGCTCTCTTACTATTCTTGTAAACCATTTTGATGACTCCTCATCTTCAAGCAGGTGTGGAGAGAAGACTGCTAATCTCCCCTCGGAAAATTACTGGGCTGAGTTTTGTAGGAAAAGGTTGGTAGACAATAAAACACCTTTACCTTTTTAATGCCCACGACTGCCTTTCTTGAGAAGCACAAAAGAGGTGGTTTTCTTGTGTTTAATTCTTTTGTTGCTAATTTGGGTTGGCCTCTTAAGGAACAAAATGTAGTAACCCTTGAAGGGCTTATGAAATAACTCCCCGAAGTCAGGATCAGGTTGCTCGGTAGGTAAACATGGAGTGTGCCCAGTGCCGCCGTGGAGAGGTCGCAGGGCTTGCGGGAAGTCAGTGCTGTGTTCCTTCACGTGTGTAGGTGCTAATGGCACTGCTGGCTTCTGAGCACACACTCTTGAAGGTAGGAAGGAGTTCATTCTTTGAGTATAAGAATGCCTCTGTTTCTCCTACTTTTTAACCTGTGCCAACAGAAAGCCTTAACCTGAAAGCATCACGCCTGGAATTTTTTTTTCCTCCTTTGGAAGAATCTTAACACACCATCATAACCTTGCAGCCAAATCCCGATTTAATCCAGGTGTTGCAGACACTGGCCTTGCTCATCGTGGCCTCAGAGGGTGGCGTTCACTAGCACTTGGTGACCTTGATTAGTCTTGAAGAAGCGGGGAATGGGTGATCACGTAGCGGGTCTTTGTCACCATGCTCTTAATCTTCATGTATTGCCTGGATGGCTGTTGTCCCCTGTCCACATAAACTGGGGCCTAAGGGGATATTTGGCTCTTTCTCTGCTCTAAGGGTTAAAGATAGGAGCGAGGGGGATTTTGGTTCATCAGACCTAAGTTTAGCTCATCCCTCACGCAGAAGAGAAAAGGACTGATAATTTGTTCAATGTCTGCCACGTCCCAGCACTGCGCTTGGTGAACTCCTGTGTTATCAGCTGTAGTCTTCGCACCAGCCCCGCAAAGCAGGTTCTGCTAACTACACCGAGAGAGGGGCCGTCCAGTTAGTGAGCTGCAGAGCTCTTGGGCTTGTACCATGGTCCTTCTCCTATGGGAGCTTTCCAGAGGTTTGGAGGAAGGGGTTTAAAGTGGACCTCCTGAATGGCTTGAGGCTGAGGGTGCTGAAGGCTGGAACCTGGGTCTCCCTTGGGCCCGCTGCTGGCTCAGGTCTGGCGCGCTTTTGCTGCCCACATCTCTGTCTCCGATTTACCCATTCATCAAATGTGAGTGTTCTCAGCCTTGGGGATCCTTAGATGGACAAGACAGACAAGTGTCTCCTCCTATGAAGCTTCCGCTCTGGGAGCATCTGGGACCATCCTTGCCTGGCTGAACCAGGCCCAAAGTTATTGACACTTATTTTTGGAATCTTTGTGCACTGCCTGGTTGCCCTGGGGTTTGATCAGAAGCCATTTAAGCCCAGCTTCTCTGTGCTTGTCTGTGTAACTTCATCGCATCGAGCATGGTGCCCCCCTGCTGGGTGGCACCCCCTGGAGTTGGGCAGGTGGCCCTTCCCCCGTTGCAGAGTTCTTTTTATCTGCATTAGTTCTTTGGAGTCATATGACACGTCTGTGGAAAAGGCTGAAAAGATAGTATTGTCATTTTCTAAATGAAGAAACCAAGGTTCAGAGAGATTTGATTCAGTGCGATTTAATTCAGCAAGACTGCCCGTGTGCATGCTCTGGAGAAGACAGTCCCCTTAGCAGGGCGCTCTGCAGGGGCGCGTGGCTCTAACAGAAGTCCGCGTGGGGAAGGCCAGGGAGGGGAGCAGGGGAGCCGTGCCTGGGCTGGGGGCAGCCCTCTCGGCCAGGACAGGAGCTGGGCTGCACATAGTGACAGAAAAGACGAGAGTCTTCCTGCCTGTCTGTGGGCTGTATTTAAGAGAGTCAGGTTGCCTGGGCTCAGATTGAAAAGTCTGCTCAGAAGTGTGTTTCACCCAGTCTTCCATGAGTCTTGAACTCTTAAGTCTGTACACAGGATGGATTGTAGTATTTCCTGAATCATAAAGGAATTTGTAGACTTCCGTTTACCAAGTCACGGCAGGGAGATGTTCTCAAATACTTAGTGACTTCTGTTGCTGCCCTGTGTTTCGTGCTTGACTTACGTGGTATTTTCCTGCTGCATCTGTAGTGATCAGTTTACTTTTAAACCTTTGTGGACCTGAAATGGAGGTTTTATTTTGGTTTCTGTTGGTAAGAGGCACATGGGTATTAATGCTGTAAACACGTAGAAAACAGTGTCCAGCTTCTTTGTTAGAATAGGAATGTGTGGTTTACTTTTTCCTTCCCCCTTCTTCTTTTCTTCATTATTGTCATAAATTCTTTAAGTGAAATGCTTTACTAAAGGAAAAGCAGAACTTTTTTTTTTCATAAAGCTGAATGCATTTTTCAAAATGAATAAGCAGGTGACCTGTCTAGTTTTTCTGCCTTCTTTTCCCCCAAAGAAATCCCATCAGCGAAGGCGGGCTGTCCACAGTTTCGGTGGCTGAATCCACTCGCCAGAGGCCCTGTGCAAACGCGGTTTGGGCTGTTCTCTCCCCCTCCTGATGGCAAGGAGCCCCAGCGTTCCCACGTGCGATGCCGTGTGCTTACACGCGTGCACACAGAACATGGCTTTCATTGCAGGCATGGCTTCATTTTAAAAAAAGTCTCTTCCATATAGAAAAGTTCAACGTGGAAAGGCAATAACTATTTGGCCCGTCCAATTCAAAAT